TTGCATATCATGTGGATGGATTTATTGGTGATATTTTACAAAGTACAACATTTCTTCAAAACGCGAACTAACTGAACTTCTTTAATGTCATTTTCGAATTTAGCGGACGAAAATACATAAGAATTGATTAGTTTCATTTCCGATATATGCAGCTCATTAAAATTTCTTGTCTAGTACACTGGTATTCAACCTGAGGTACGCGTACCCCCGGGGGTACGCGAAGACATTTTAGGGGATACGTGAAATTTAAAGAAATATATATTATTTTTTGATAAACACTGAATAATCAGGGCCAGATTTAGGGTTAGCCACAGGAGAACCGGAAGTAAGGACTTTCGATTTGGGAGCGCAATTTCTCTCTCTCTCTTTCTCTCTCCTTTATGCGATTCTTATCTGGGCGGCTAGTTTCATTTTATTCCACATAGTGCTTTGGAACCTGATTGAACACTATTGGGTGGGATTAACGTTTCCCCTAAAACTGTTTTTCTCTTCTTTTAATCATGCAATGAACCTACTTCAATAAACAAACAGATGCACTCCTTCGTATTACCTTGTTCTTTGACAATTCCCGCTGCCGGCAGAGAAACGTTGGAAGTGGTTGCTGGTTTTATGACTTGGAAATACCGAATGATGTTTTTATAACAACACCAAAACATTTTACCTGGCCTTGCTCTTTCAATTTCATTATTGCAAAATACTCATCAGTTTGGTATCACAGCTTCAACAAGTCGTGTCGGATCTAATTCTGTGATCAGTTTAAGTCGGGCGTAAATGTCTACAAGCTCAGTGACATGTCGAGTCGTGATAGAGTATACGAGGTGCGATCGGAAAGTTTCAAGACTGTGTCAATAGAGGGCGAACCGGATGTAGTACGGGCTTCTGCCGCTAGGGGGTGCGGCCTACATTCATAGTGAATCAGTGTGCCAGCCGGCATCATCGAATTAGCATTTGTTTCTTAGTTACGGGCGTTTTGGTAGTGCATTACACCGACCCTCCTGCGATTGCGGATTTTCATGAACAAAGAGTGTGCATCAAATTTTGCCAAAGCCTCGCCAAAACGGCTACGGAAACCTATGAAATGCTAAAGCAAGCATTTGGGGAGTCCGTAATGGGTCGTGCACAAACTTTTGTGTAAAATTTATTTTTTAAAAATTGCCGAACCTCTGTCGATGATGACGAGAGTTCTGGACGACCATCTTCGAGCACAACGCCCGAAAATGTTACGAAGATTCGGCAGGCCATTCACGAAGATCGACGTCGTACCATCAACGACTTGTGTGACATTGTTGGGATAGGCTATGGGACCTGTCAGCTGATTCTAAAGGAAGAACTCCGCATGCGACGCATCATGACAACGCCCCAGCGCACACCGCCCTCAAAGTTCGGCAGTTTTTGGCCTCAAACACCATGGCCGTCTTCTCGCACCCTCCTTATTCGCCGGATTTAGCTCCGTGTGACTTCTTACTCTTCCCAAAGATGAAAATTCAGCTAGAGGGAAGGAGATTTGAGACGATAGAAGAGATTCAGGCAGAATCGCAGATGGTGCTTGACAGGTTGACAAAGAAAGATTTCCAGGGATGCTTCCCGGCTTGGCAGCGGCGCTGGCATCGTTGTGTTCACTCCCAGGGGAACTACTTCGAGGGTGATGGATGAATTTAATACCTGAGATAAGTGTACGGGTTTTTATAGGCGCAGTCTAGAAACTTTCCGATCCCACCACGTACATACGTGTAGTACGTTACCGGCTTTGTGAATAATGATTATTGTTTAACAATTTACTAAGTTTATTTAATTTTACTTGGCATCCTAACGTCTTTCTGTTGTGTGGGATCATTGTTGTGAAATGCAGGTTCGGTTTGTTTAATTCTTGTTAAAACGCGGATCAATTATAAGTGCATAGTAGTCATCATCCACTCAGTTCCTTCTTGAAACCACGGCAGTAATCATTATTTTCATTTTCCGTATTGCAAAATGGATAAATTTATTATTTAAAAGGAAGCGTGAAATTGGCGAAAAAGGTGAAAATGACGATAGTGTTGAGTCACAAACACTGAAAAGTGCGACAGTTTCTGTTCCAACCTGTGATGATAGTGTGAGCAGTGTTGAACTATCTACAAGTAAGCCTAAATTCCCAAAAAATATGAAAGCGGACAAAGTGAAATACAGACATTACAATGACTCCTACATTAAATATGGGTTTGTTTCAAATCTGTGTGATCCACCTCTTCGACTCTGGTTGATTTGCAACCAAATTATATCGAACAACTCTATGAAAGCATCTCTACTTCACCGGCACTTAGTGACCAATCACGGTGAGTGTAAGGACAAGCCAGCTGAATTTTTCAAACGCAAATCAGAAAATGTACGTAAAACTTCAAATGTAATACATAATTTTACACAATCATCAAAGGTGGCATTAGAGACGTCGTATGAATTAGAATTGATAGCTGCCCTCTCATTCTGCCTGGTGCTTTAATTATATCAGATAAAATGCTAGACAAAAAATATGCAAATGCAATAAAAACGATTCCGAGTTCTGACACAACTGTAGGTCGCAGAATTCATGACATGGCACAAGATGTTATTGAGAAAATTACGGAGAACATTAAAATTGACAAAAGATCTGCAATTCAAATTGATGAATCGATGGATATTTCTGATGAAGCCGAGCTGCTTGTATACATTCGGTATTTTGATGTTAAGAAAGGGGCTATTTTTGATGAAATTTTCGGATGTAAACAATTACCAGAACTTACAAAGGGAGAAGATATTTTTAAAATCCTTGACAATTTCATAAGGTTGGAATTAGTTTTGCAGTGGGAATGGTGTGTCAGTGTATCCACTGATGGGGCTGCTTCAATGACACGCCAATAAAGCAGTCTTGTTGCTCGTATTCGCAAAATTAATCCTGAAATCAGCTGGCAACACTGCATCATACACAAACAAAGCTTTATCGCGAAAAAAATTACTCATGATTTACACGAAACACTGAACATTTCTGTGAAAGTGGCCAATTTAATCAAGTCTCGTGCATTAAACTCCCGTCTTTTCAAGAATATGTGCGAGGAGATGGGATCCACACACACCCAACTCTTGTTGCACACCGAGGTGCGATGGCTGTCACGAGAATGCATGTTGACTCGCCTTTTTGAACTGAAAGACGAAGTAAAATATTTCCTCTCAAAATTGAAATTAGATTTCGTTACTTTTTTAGAAGACGAAGGCTGGTTTTGTTAATTAGCTTATTTGGCAGATATTTTCAACAAATTTAATGATCTCAATCTTCAACTCCATGGCTTTGACAAGAATGTTGCAGTTTTACCAACTATTTTTGAACTTACTGAACAAAATGAAGTTAGCGTTACTGATGGCGTTTTGGAAATAATCAAATTCCACTTGGAAAATCTCAGGACACAATTTTTGAAATACTTTCCAGAAATTGAGAGAGAAGACAATACCAAAGATTGGATTAAAAACCCTTTTTATATCACCGCCATCAATTCCTCTGATCTTCCCTTAAAATTAAAAGAAAACTTGCTGGAAATGTCCGTTGACGGTTCACTGAAAATAAAATTCGAAAATATGTCAATCTGCGACTTTTGGATTGCCGCTCGCAAAGAGTTCAAGGAGCTTAGTGACACTGCCATTTCACACCTCCCGCCATTCCCATCAACGTATTTGTGTGAGCAAGGCTTCTCCGCACTGACATCAATCAAAACGAAATGCAGGAACCGCTTGAACCCAGAACCATCTCTGATCCTCGCACTCACGAAGATTCGTCACCGAATTGAGGTGCTGGCATGCCAGAAACGTTCTCAATCATCTCATTAACAGCTCTGAACCACATTAATTAATAATTGATAAAATATTTAAACATATAATTTTGCTTTGCTAAAATATCTTTGTCCTTTATTAATTTTTATATGATAGGCAATAAGATATTTGTTATTAATAGCTTGATTCTCCTTTTTCTCATTTAAATCTTATTGTTTACTACATTATTTTGGATGTAATTTATTTAATTTCTTTTAGATGTAGATTATATACTATGTATAACTTGAATTATACACCAACAACTTTGGGGGTACAAAGTTTAAGAGATATTATATCTGGGGGTAAGCGAACAAAAAAGGTTGAATACCACTGGTCTAGTGTAATAGGCTTAGACACTACGCTTTTTAATATTTAAATTGACCATATTGTCAAAGAATGGATGTATTTAGTAGATCCTGGAAGTCTAGTATCAAAAAATTTGTACGTAAAAATATTGATAATTTGCTAGTGATTAGGTTTTAATTGAAAGCAATGAAAATGGCTTACAGAAGTCAATATACCATTTCAATGAATTTTGTAAGAAGGGTAATTTCGGAATATCAATGAAAACCAAAGTTATGGCCTTTATTGGAAAAGACTCAACAAGATCAAAAATCGTCATCGACAAACATATGTTAGAACAGGTTGTACACTACAAATACTTAGGCCTATAAATATGAAAACTATATAAAAGAAAAATACGTAGATTGCAGACAATGTGCAGAACTGTACACAGGACCGTAGAAATAAAACTAAGCAAGAAACAAGAATGTTATTTTATAAAATCATGACGGTGCGAACACTTTTATATGGATGTGAAACTTGGGTGCCTACACAAAGAGATGTTAGCAGAATACAAGCAGAGGAAATGAGATTTCTTGGAAGAGTTAAAGGATGTACAAAAACAGACAGGTTCAGAAATGAAGAAGAACTACATGTAGAGGCATTAATACACAAAATAACTGAGTACCGTGGGAAGTGGTTAGAACGCTTGTTAAGGATGGACAATACCACACTACCAAAAATTGCTTACAACTACAGCCCCACTGGAAGACCAGACTTTGGTCGACAAAGAAAACGGTGGAGAGTCCGAAATAGGCCTTAATGCATATCCCATGAAATTGAGAAGAATAAGAAGGAGATATTATTGCAAAAATCTTGATACATTAAATATTGATACCACTTACTCCAGCAAACTGTTCCCCATTGTGCAGTTGAGGTGAGTATATTGCACACTGCCAGAAAGTGTATAACTGCCATCAATGTAACATTACGCCACAGTATCGCCTGCGTCACAGGTACGGCAGCATTGGTTTTTTCCACAATTTCCACTTTTCCGTTTTCTGTCATCTTACCAAGATCGGTCTGTTAACGAAGAACTTTCCTGGGGAAATAAATATTAGATAAATGTAAAAATTATGGTGGAGATGATGTCAGGAAAAGCAGTGGAGGATATATATGATGAACAAAGAGATGGCTTATGAGACTGCGAGAGAAGAAGAGTGTAATAAAAGAAAATTTTCATGAAAGAAAGAAATGGCAGGTGGTACGTGATGATAGGTCATAGTGGCTGCATCGTGCAAGTGGAATGATGAAAAATTACGTGTCCAGTGATGATAGAGGTGATGGAAGCGATGGTTGCTGGACCTTCAGATTGAAATTGTTCAGACATCCGTAAATTTATATCGTTCTGAGTGACAACTTACTTTATTTTATTCAAGTAGTTTAATTGCCGCTGAATGTTCAGCTTTCATGTCTTCAGCCGAACTTTTATAATGATGAGTACTGTTTGTATTATTTCTTTATCTCCTTATACAACTTTAGAGTCGAGTCACAAACTTCCAGTATACAAATCTCACGCTATGTATCTTGTACACTTAAATTAACATTAATCGCAATTGAACACGGTATGCCTGTGCAAGAAGATCGAAATAAAATCAATTTCTGTATTTTCTGCAACATAATTCATAAATCGAAAAATGCACATAATTCTTCTTAATCTTATCAGTGCCTAAATTTCCTAGAATACAGAACACATTCTTCTAAATGATAGTTTATATGTATTTCTTCATGGTTCATATACATTTACTAAGTTTCCCAAAATTGTTAAACAGTGGTCTGCTACACAACTAAAATAAACATTAAACTCAAAATTAAACTGAATTTTTATGGTAAATTCATTGCATAATTCTTACAGTTTTTTTTCAGCACAGCATTTTTATGACCATGCGCTGAAAGGTTTGAACCAATTTTATTGAACTTTCAGGTAAATTGGATGCTGATGTATTGTTCGAGAGATGATGTTGGCTGAAGTGACTAATATTCTGTTGCCCGAAGGTAGCTTTGACAGGCGTAGGGGTATGTGAGCGTCGTACTGACAGGTGTCGATCTTGTTGCTTAGTGTTTGCCTTACTGATGTTTCAGACGTGCTTACTGCCGCCATTATCAGAGCCATGTTGCCCATATAATGGCAAACTCCTACCAGACAACGTGGAGCAACATTCCAGAAGGCAATCATCTTCATTAAAAGTAAATTAACATGAAATATCAATACATATTCTCTACACGTGAGAATAAAATAAAGAAGTTATTTAACATACTGTGTCCGTATATAGAGCCTGTAACTGCGAATAAATTAATAACAACAATGCAAAGCTATACCCATTAAAGCGCACAGACGTTCAAAAGGTGTTATTCAAGCACCGTCACGAAGGTAAATATTACACTACTGTGATCTTGCATTCATGAGTTCCTAGGTCACTGTTGCGTTTGAGATAATTCATGCACTTATGAGGACCCAGCCAATGTTTCTGAAGTTCTTCTAACAAATACATTTAAGTCGTTCTTGCACTACCGTGATCCGATACTTCATTGTTGAATAATATTGTTTCTCGCATTGAGCATTCAGTTACATTTTTACTAAAAACAGACACAGATATGGTAAGGCCCTTGCGTTGTTTTTCGCTTTTATAAAAGCAAACAAACACAGAATCATGAGAGTAGTTCATAAAATGAGAAGTGAGAGAAAAGTTACGATCACCAATCTAGGTTTAATTAGTAATGTGTGCAGAACGTCATATTATTGCCCTTATCTCAATAACTTACGCCAACTTGTAACTTCTAGGGATAAATGTTAACTGAATAACACATGTTAACTGTTTTCTTTTAGCAGAAAGTATTACTCTCTTAAACTTATATAACGTTTGCCAATGGAGTGAAAACTATTAATTCGAGTTTCACTTTTACTACAACATTGTAGTTTCTGTTGAATTATTCAATTGAAATTTCAACACATGGTAGTCTCGAGCCGAACTATTGATGGGCCTCCCTGAATTTCTAGTACCAATTTTGCATATCTTCAAGGCTTTCGAGTCACTTACATTGTGACATGTTGCTACATTTTGTATCTGCTTCCTGTGTATTGTTTCCTAAATACTAACAACCATCTGTTGTGCATATACTGGTTCTTTATAATTTTAACAACTACTTCAGAAATTTCACACGTTTTTGCCCTTTATTACTTTGCCCCTTATTACAGTGACAGAAATGAAACCTAGCGTTACGCGTCTATTAGAAGGACTAGGCTGCTAGCCCGGTCGGCTGCAATATGTACTTTGTAGCTCGCTTTCTGAGTTGTTACGTGCAGTTTACGAAGTATGTGCGTTTGTTTTTTCGTTTATTAGCAAGCTAGTGACGTATTTGAAAGTCACAGTTTGGTTTCAGCCACTGTACAAGCAACACGCAAAACAGAATATGTTAATTCACTATCATAATTTTGTCCTCAAGTACAAGGACTGCATACTTATAGACTTAGTTTCTTAATTTACTTTTTAGTTTTCTTCATGCTGAAGCGCAACCTAACTCTCAGAAATGCACTGATTCGAAATTTACAGAAATGCTTTACCAAATTATCAATAAATAATTACTTTCTTATTCCATGGATCCAAGTCCTTCCTGAAAAGCCAACAGTTGCTTAGTCACACCAGAAATTCCAAATATTTTATTGAAGCCGAAAGTTCATGACCGTGTTCACAACAGCCCACCACTAAGTCCTATCCTCGACCAGATCAAACCAGTCAATATCACCCAATCCTATTTATCTATGATCCATTTTAATATTATCCTCCCATCTACGTCTAGGTCTTCGTATTGCTATAATTCCTTCTGACTTGCTTACCACAACCTGTGTGCATTTCATGCCGGCTACATGCTCTGCCCAGCTCATCCTCATTGACATGTACAGTCTAAATACATGAAGCTCCTCATTATGCAGCTTTCGTCAGCCTCCTAGTAATTCATCCCTCTTAGGTAAACATATCTCCTTAGCACCCTGTTCTCGAACACACTCGTTCATCGTTCCTCCCTTAGTGTCAGAGACTAAATTTCACACTCATACAAAACTACAGGAACATTATAGTTTTCTATGTTCTAAAATTTACGTTCTTAGACAGAGAACGAAAAGGCAAAATGTTCTGAATTGAATTGTAATAAACACTATTATTTATTTATTATTTATTTAGTGTTCTGTCTGACGACAGGTCCATATGAACAGGATCCTTCCATCCTTTTCTCGGACTGGGACCTGTTCATATACGTTCTTGGCAGATGATCCAGAAGTGGTTTGCCATTGCCTTCTTCTGTGTGTGTGAATGGAGTAATTGTTGGGATGCCACGGAGGAAAACTCCATGTTGCCTAGACCACAGCCTTGCCCAACACAAGTTATAAATTCGGGCACCGCCGGGAATCGAACCCGAGACCCCAGGATTACAAGGCTAGCGTTCTAACCGCTAGACCACCGTGGCTCGACTTTAATCTGCTCTTAATTTCCTCATGAATACAAGTATGATTTGTTGCTGTCGCTCACTAGTATATCAATTTCGCCACATTTTCAAAGGATAAAATAAAAATATTTATTTTAAGATTTAGCACTGCATTCTGGTAACAAAACGTAACATGTACTTAATTTTCTCTGAGTTACTTTTGAACTAACTTCCTACCTAGTGTCAATTACAGCTTCTGTGATGTTCTATATGGTATTTATGTTATCCCCCAACAGATTTACAACATTAGCATAGAACAGAAGCTGATATATAACATTAAATTTCAGTCTCACTTGGTTTTCTTTGACCTTATTTATGGTGTATTCTATAGCAAATTTGAAAAGCAATGGTGATAAAGGATCTCCTTGTTTTAGCCCATGTTGAATAGGAAAGGTGTCAGACAAATGTTTGCCTGTACGGTCTCTGCTATAGATTACCCAATAGGCATATTCATCGCCCTGATGACGGAGACAGTATGACCTCTGAAACGTTGGTAAACACCTACCATACTACACGGCACAATAACCCAGAAGACAGAAATCTTCGTACTCACCGCTGTGAAAACCTCAAATCATACGTTCGAATACATCAATAATGAAAGATAATATGTATGTAGAAAAATATTCCATAACTATAAGATGGCTGTCTTCTGGGTTGTTGCGCCGTGTAGTCTGATAGAAATTTACCTACGTTTCAGACGTCCTTGCTGCCTCCATCATCAGGGCCTTGATGATAGAGGCAGCAAGAATCTCTGAAACGTCTGTAAATTTCTGCCGGACTACACATCACAACAACCCAGTATACAGCCATGTTCGAACACACTGCCGTGAAAACCTCAATTCCTATAATTGCTAGACCACACATAAGGACCTTGATTCGAGCTCTGAAAATTCAGTTGTGAATTATCTGTCCACCGTCAAAATGAGCCTTCCTGCTGTTAATAAGATGCTGAGCTCTATCAAACAGGCTAAATACTTTCACTGGCCATCTACTGTGATTTCCTAAATTTATGATAATTAAAAATTAAAATTAAATTAAATTAAATCCGTGGTGTAACTGCTCCAGAGAGCCAAAGCCGACTAGCTTGACTACTGGCCTCACGTTCACATGCCTAAGCAGAGGATGATTATAGGCAGTTTATATTCATAGAATGGTTATTAGATATAGTACCGTACCTTACGACAGCTGGATTTCTCATAAAGCTGTGGTGTGACGACTTAATTCTAACAACAACCAAACCATGAAACTTGATATACTACTGATGTAATGCTATTTCTACGACTGAAAAAAGATTTGTGACGTTACTGGCTTCACAGTATTTTGATTTTATGAAACAAGTACACATGCATCGGAACAATTCATCCATTAAGTTTCCGTGCAAGTAATTGTGATCATTATCATAATCCCACAGTATACCTTAACGATGTGAATGCCATTCTGTTTTATTACCATGGCGAAACAACCAGAAATATAAGCTATCTTCTTCATAGCAAATGTGACTTAAGGCACAGATATTTTCTTCAGATTCACTTACGTTTGAAGTATTTGTTTTAAGCTGCACTTCTTCTCAGGGGATTTAGCATTCTTGCGAACTGAGCATTATTATCGCTTCGTTGGTTCTTTCGTAAGCAAGGCATAATATAATTCGGGAACGACTTAACTGCTTTTATGAAATTTGTTATTTGTTTACTTAAATAAAATTCCTTGGCATTTTTTTATTAAATCTAATGAATATAACCTGCACTTTACATAAATATCTACACGTGTCTCTGTAAGCTGTAGAGACTGGATTGGAGTATCTCAAGGCTAACTGGGTCGAATTTTGAAAGCACAATTATTTATAGTTAGCTGTAATTGTAAGGTTGATCGTGCATTGTTAAAATATCTCTAAATAAATTTAAATATTTTAGCATGGTATAAATTATTATTAATTAGTCCAACGTTACGTAGCAGAGTGATGTATCATTTATTTCTACTGAGAAAATCTACGTCCGGTAACTCAGCATTTTCCTTTCCAGTGGGTTTTCGTAAAGTCCATTGATCTTTTTATATATATATGTAAATATGGTCTTCGAGTTCAAACAGGCTTTAAGTACTATTAACTTTGTCCCTTAAAATGCTTGAAACATCTAACGTTGAAGCATTTTATGATTAATAAAATAACGTTTCTAAATATGTGCATGAAATAAACAAGCACGCATAAAATATGCAGAATTTATTATATAAATACCCAAATTGATTTAGTAGAATATTTCACCGTAGGCTATAATTTCAACTGAGAAATTTATTACGTGGACTCGTTAACTGTGTTCACAAAACCATAATTCATATTTGACTTCTTAAACCAACTGATTGTATGTCACATACAAATGTCACAATTATGCAATTTTTAGCCTTGGCATTGTATACTTGTGGGTGATAATCTTTACGCCCTGACACAATACGATCGGAGTAGGGCTCCGATAACGATTCGATGCGAGGCTAAGTGTAACTCAGAGTATTCTGGTTTAGATGATGCCCTCGCCCCAGATGGAATAACAATTGTCCCTTAGCCCATAATATTACTAAACGGGCTATTCTGGTTTAATGGTGTATGTTTTATTAGCTAATTATGTGAAGTGAGTGAGGGCAAGATGGTAATCGAGAGAAGTTGCCGATTTTGCTGTGGTTTAGCAGCATAGTAACAGATAGCGACACAAGGCAGTGGGCAGTCCCTGGTGTCAGTCTGAAGAGAGGTAATACATCGGTGCAACTGTGCATTTGGTTTTTCGATTTAAGCGCGAAAAAAGCAAGATAAGTGTTAAATTGACCACCTTAAAAGTATACAATACAATTTAAAGTAATAATATTCACTACAAAGTATAAAGGAATACGAAAACCGGCAAGTATAACACATAACAGGTGCAGGAAATGATGTATTTTCAGTGATCTCAGCTCTAGTGACGCCATATTAAGTTGTGTGACTCGAGTGGCGTCATACGCCGATCCTCGTAAAAGACGCCACTCTTCGCTCCTGCTTTCGGATAAGATGACTAGTTAAAGTGTTTACTTGAATTTTTCATTTATGTACAGAAAGTGCCTGAAAACTACACCAGGACTTCTAACAGAGGTTAGTGGAGTCAGGATAGTCTACAACTTGCCATGGAACACGTACGGACGGGAGGCATGAATTGTTTTAAAACCTCACAATCCCATACAGAACTTTGAAAAGACAACTACAGTATAATGATGCCAAAAAACATGACATAGACCCTCAAAGTAAGTAAATGTAATTATATAACTTATTGTAATATTACAAGATTTTAAATATGACTTCTTCCAAGTAATTTATAAATACCTGTTATTTTATTAGGTTGCCTCAGAAAATAAAATAAGGAGTATTTGGTGACCTACATAAAGAAACTACAGGCATCAGGATTTCCGCCAATGGAGAAACTTTACTAAGCTCGCCTATCAGTTTGCAAAAGGAAATCGAATTCTTCACCGCTTCAACAGAGACAGAGTTATGGCAGGATGATATTGTCTAGACCAAGGGTTCTTAACCCTTTTTCGCTGGCGCACCAGTAATTCTAATTTGACATATTAAATGTAGCACTAATCAAATGCGTTCAGGGAAAACTTATTTATGTTAATATTATCTTTTAATTTGTTTTACTTAGTTCGTGTACCACCCGACATTGGCCTGCGTTCCACCAGTGATACGCGTACCATAGGTCTAGACTAATTTCTGAGACAATCCTGGATTAGTTAAGAAATAATCTACAATGTCTCTCTTTTGAAGAGCTAAAGCCATGAATAGGAAGAATATTGATGTCTACTTCAAATTATAATTGGATTTGTTGCCAGAAAACTCTCTGCTAGACAAACCTGGCCATATGCACAATGTGGATGACTCTGGTTTTTCAAGTTAATCCTAGGCCTGACACTGATATCTCAGAAGAGCTCTCCGACAGTGTACCAAATGACTTCTGGTGAAAAGCGGGAGACAGTGCTGCAATGCCATAGGCTGTTTTATATCTCCAGCCTGCATACTTAAAGAGAAAAACAAAAAGTCAGAATGGGAAGATTCTCTTCCCAAAGGGTCAAAAGGTTTTCATGAATGCAAGGTCTGGTTTTGCAAACTCTACCATATTAATGCAGTGGCTGAATAGAGCATTTTATTTCAAGAAAACAAACAGGGAAAGTAGTGCTAATTCTAGATGTTCATACATCGCACTGCAATGACCAGGATATGTTGGAACTAGCTCAGAAAAACGACATAATCGTGGTTTGTTTTCCTCCCCATTCCACCCACAACTTTCTTCCATTTTATCGGTGTTTCTTGAAACCCCCGAAACACTTTTCTTCATAGCAGTGCACGTTTGGTGACAAATACACGCAGATCGCGACATGTTATGATCGCAGTTTGCACCATTGCTGAAGGAGGCTTGGCAGAAATCGGTAACCAAATCTAATACCTATTCTGGATTTGAAACCTGTGTTCGTTGTGATTTCTGCAATAGCACGCGTATTCCCTGTGCTCAACACACACGGCCAATCACACCGAAACTTAGCTATGACACCAAATTACAAAAATTTGTTCGGCGCATGTATACGTCAACAGTGAATGAAAACTCAAATCACAGTGGAGAAGCATCTTAGCTGCTGTCATTACAGACTAGTTTTATATTGTTCTTTTAAACTCTAAACTGGATGTGTAACCCGTGCGTATAGACAACCAATTAAAGCGTGTGATGAAGTAACTAAAACTCACTCTGTGTTCTTGTTCTATATCTGTAACAGATACAAGAAATACTACCCATCTCTGCTAACCTTTGTTTAGATCAGTTTCCTACTAGAAAATGTTAGGTGCGGAAGAATTCACTGAACAAGGAAACTTTTTCTCGAGTCTGCAAATTTAACTCAGTCTTTTCTTCTGTTTTTATGTTACATTTTTAATTCTTTAGCACTTGGATTGTCACTGTGCACGAAATTTTTCGTACATCGTTATGTCGACGCACGGGGATGCCCCGAAGCGCAGAGCCCGATACTAGTTTGTGTAAAGCATCAAAACATCGTCTCTTTCTTGAAAGCTATAGAGTAAGATTGTATAGTCATGCCACATACAACGCAGTGGACTGAAATCTTAAAAATCATATCCATTTGGATAGATGGTCCACGTAAGAACTTTTATTTCAGTTTTAAATTATTTATGAAGACTGGCTTATGTTCCGAAATTACACGAAAAGAAGTTCAGTTTCATAGCTAAGTTCTGTAGGAAATGTGTTGAATTTAAATTAACAATTAATATTCTGTGAATCTTAAATCATCATTTCATTAAAAGAAGTCGGTTCAGATTTGGCAGGACTTTCTCTAATAGCTTGTCAATAAACCAATTAAACTTGTGCGACAACTTTAAATCTACAAAACAACAAATTTGTTTCACATTCGTTCTGTGGTTTCAGAAGGGAACAGGAGAACAGGCAATGAGCACGACCTAGCGGGTGAATGGTACGCTTCATGCTCTGGCCGCTTTAGCTTCATGCCCTCCGTTACTAATTTGATAGGAGGGTGGAAAGGGAAAAGAGATGTTCCTCTCACCTCTTACACGTAACCGCTTCTGAATTCTAACCTGTCGAAACACGTGAAAGCTTGTAAATTCGAAATATATGGCAAATCACTTTTATACATTTATAAAGAGTGAACCTATGTCTTAAACATATCTCGTCAAGAACGAAGATATTTTATAAAAAATTATTGTTTCCTTTCTCTACAGAAATCTGTTGCGCTATCTCAAAACTGTGTTCTCGACTGTGTTTCTCTTCAGTCATATGGATTATACAGTGACATAAAAGAGTACTAACAAGCTTCTTTAAATTGAAATCCACATTTAAGTAATAAATACAGACATGTAATTATAGTGCAGGAGTTAGCGAATGTGTAATTTATAATTCATCTACTTAAAAATATGTAGGGGAGCCCAGGGCTGAACGAAGAACTTAATTTTTGGAGGCATGTGGAAGGGACAATAACAAAGTCAAACACATAGAGGAACCTTGTTTGGATTTATTGTCTATTTGAAATTTATAATGAGTCATTAGTTTAGTTCTAAGAGTTAAATTTTTTTAAAAAAATTAATTTCTTTACAAAAATGTAACTTGCCACATTTTGCCCCGTGCCCGGGGAAAGACGGGGTATGGTTGATATATGTTTATATGTTTGAAAAAGTTGTAAGAATACACATTATCTAATAATTATGACGTAGGGTATAAAAATGATAAAGCATACAATGTGAAATGTCGAAAATTTACACATTTGAAATGTACTTAGGCCTAAGACAGAGCTCACACATGTGCACCTTTTCATCATCGTTACTATCAATACCTGCACATGAGTTATGGGCACATTTAAAGCAAGACGAACACCAGATCTACCCTTCAATTGACTGCGAATAGATATCGCCACAATACAGGCAATCGTCATCTTGATCCTCTTCTCTACTTTCACTCGGGGCAAAATGGAGTACCCCATTATATCCCACCCTATCCTGCCCCGAGTATACTCTTTCAAATTAGGATTGTCCCACCAAAAATGACAATGAAAATAAATAAAACTATTGTGTTTAAGACTTTCGGGAAAACACCTTGTAATATGCATCATTTAACAAAGTGGATTCGAATAATGAATAGGTTTTACCTTCACTGGAATTTGAGAAAAAATTCTAGAATGTAGGAGAAAAATCAAGCATAGGTGATTATTTCAGAAACTCTAACCACAAAATAGCGCTGACTGACATAACATAATCCTGTGCTGCATGTTAATGGTATTTCAACCGGTCCCGATAGATCGCAATGTGTTTCAGGCGAAAAGAAATCAGATACCCCGTTCTACCTCACGGCCCATTTCTGCCCCCGGTTCCCCTAACATCGGTAACATTTGAGACATGCAGCATGGTCTTTTCTTTGGATTTAGTGTATGGGAATTTCAGTAGCGAAGCACAAGTAGGTCATATGATCTACTGCGCAACATTCATTTGTATCCTGTTTTATAATATCTAAATGTGCTCTTTGGACAATTACGAGAACCGAAAATATCCATTATGTTGCTTCCTTTCTTATAGTTTGAAGATACAGCCACTCCGCGTCTGCTGCGACTAAGAATGTCACACATCGATCATTCGGTTGTCAGCGTGATGGGATAAAACAGCATAGATTTGGTTTAGGAATAGAAACTTGCATACCCTCTTTTATCCTCCAACATATTCGAAATTCCGTATTCCTTTTGAAATTCAAAGGAGGAAGGGGATTGGCTACCACAAGTATTAGAGCCCGGCTCCAAGAGGAAACCTGTTAACTCAGTGGCATAACGATTTAAAACACACCATCGCTTTGAACTATTGCATTCTGCCAATTTGAATATTATTCCATTGAATGAACAAAAAACATACCTTCTGTCCGTTTCCCAATGACTGAAACGTTCTTTTACAGACTGAAGAAATATCCAACCTTACGTTTCTATACAAATAAATGTAATTTGTTTCGTTACTCTAAACCGTGTAGACTGTCGAATGTTATTACTCCTTTTATATTTGCTATAACAGAAAATGTTACATACGCTTGTTCTGTGTTTTGTATACTATACAAATCGCCATTTTTGCAAATATACACTCGAGCTTCACACAAGTACTAACCAAAATCAAATTACTAGGACAACAATAAGTGGATGTCGCCAATACCAAATTTAATCGAAATTTTTTAATTTTCTTTTTTCGAAGTTTAAGATACAGAAAAACGGACGCGCGGGCGATTGTACATTTGTTCCCGTGCACGTCTTCATTTTGTGCACTGTGTGTGTGGTGTAAATTATGCTCAACAGGATTATACTCAGAGAACAGTAGATTACAATTACATATTTCGATCTTAGGCAATATTTTCTTTTCTTATAGTATTTCATTTAGGGACGCTATATTAAATGTAGTTATTGAGCAATATAGAATGAGACGTTATAAAGTGATTAGGAATAGTAAGTAGGGCATCATGTAAGACAAAGCGACTTTGATCTTTCCAATATACCATCCCAGGCTTCTATGGCGGAACTAGGAGTAAATATGAAATCTAATGGCAGAATTGACATAGGGAGGTCGAACCACGAATGCACTTCCTAACAAATAGCCAGAATAAGATCCACTAAGTAGATAGAAGGTTTTTCCTCTTATGCAGATTCAAATTTTATAGACTTTACGGAACAAAATGACATGAACAAATTCAAAATTAACATTACACTTGCCTTGACATATATCAATTGGTGTACAACTGGGATATTGGGTATTGGGAACGACCCGTTCTTCAAGTGCCTGAGCACTGCGGGTACCAACTTTTCGTTTGGTTGAGCTATAGATATTCGGTAGGACTCCTCGGACGAGGGATCCGTCGCAAGGCCTCTACCTGTACATAGGACAGCACAAGACCGAAAAACGCGGACAAACATCCATGGCTTGAGTGGGATTCGAACCCACGGTCCCAGTGACCAAATGGCACAAGGCCCGCGCCTCCTACCGCGCGTCTACTGCGACCCCGGGTATACAACTACCCTCTGTAATTTATTGCTAATTTTAAATTAAGCAGACGTATAATGTTTTCCTCTTTGTTTCCACCACAGCCTTCTAAGTTGATGGAATAGAATGCTGGTAACAAATTACAGTTGGTTACAAAATTTTCCGGTTCCGATTTCGATGCCGTTAGAACATAGTTCATATTGTTTCAATAAAAATACTGTAATGTTCTCACATAAGCTGGGCTAAGCAACCGAACACAACTTAACACAGTATCATCAAATTGAACAAAACCTTCGCATTAGCATCAGATCATTGCGAATGTTCATATGGCCATGCAGGGCATTTTAGGTGAAAGTGAGAACGGTACACGTGTCGTGGAGGCCAGGTCACGGAAAGGGCACGAGCAGTTTTTATGCATGGCTCAGTCAATGTACGGACCAAACTGTGTAAGGGTACGGTACTTGGAATGCAAGGGCCTTGTTTGAAATAGGCACGCTGAACTTGTCGATTAAACAGAAAGATTGATTCATGGGTTATTTAACAGCTCTATTTCACACCCGGCAATTATATAAGTCATACGAGATGGGAAAATGCTCAGAAATGCTGAATGAATAATTATGTGTAATGTGCTAAGGTCTGAAAGTATTTCTCATTCTCCTCAAAAGTGACGTTTAGTGACTTAACGCTTTTCTGAGACACCACAGACGCATTTGCCAAGGCTCTAACTGTACCTGTGAAGTTGGCTTTGCTTCTGGTGCGAAGGCAGAATTAATTATTTTAAGTTCCTTATCGGGAAGGCTGCTGACAAATCGGTATGGTCATGTGATGTGAAGAAAACAGGGCTCTCACCTTATCACAACAACGGTCACGCAAGACTTGCTTGACTGTGGCAGGTGCAGTAGCAGCCATGTGGGTGTGACTTTCATCCCATCATGACCTTGCACTAGGGCAAAGCCCTCCTAACAAAATGATAATACCAAGTACCACCTGTTTCCTAAGATCGATAAATGGTATTCATTATGATATTAACTAGTTGTGGAAGGAGTTAACTGCGGGTCGTTCTGTAGTAAAGTATCTATAAACATTTACGCTGCCTTGGTTCTTGTCACAAAGTTCCATTTTGGACAATTTATGGAGCATTAAGCATCTGGTACTACAAGAATCTTTAACAAGATGTTCTTCATATTTTAGTTGGCAAAGAACAATAATAAACTCCAGTACACTTTAGTTATGGTCGACAATGCCCATTATCTGTGTTCCAGGTCTACAATAATAGATGTGTAATTTGTCGCATTTTAGTCTTCAGGCGATTGGTTGTCATTATACTAAATTTGATCTGTTTGTAGCAACCGCGTGTGTGATCACCATGTCCCCGCTTTAAAGTTTAAACGAATAAGTCGATGTTCATTAAATTTTGTGAGAACGTTATACACTGGAAACCACCACAAAACGTTTACTTTTTAATTTCCTACGGGTATAAACAACATGGCGGGCGTACGAGCTTGTGAAATAGCACAAACACCAGAGCAACTTGAAGGGTGTTGAAATTTTATGTAGTAATACATTTTCAAGAAATATTTAGTTTTATCAAGACCGTCTAGTTATAGAGTGAGCCTTTTCCACGAAACGATCGAACCCAGTGCTCACGAACATAATCCTGTGCTGCATGTTAATGGTATTTCAACCGGTCCCGATAGATCGCAATGTGTTTCAGGCGAAAAGAAATCAGATACCCCGTTCTACCTCACGGCCCATTTCTGCCCCCGGTTCCCCTAACATCGGTAACATTTGAGACATGCAGCATGGTCTTTTCTTTGGATTTAGTGTATGGGAATTTCAGTAGCGAAGCACAAGTAGGTCATATGATCTACTGCGCAACATTCATTTGTATCCTGTTTTATAATATCTAAATGTGCTCTTTGGACAATTACGAGAACCGAAAATATCCATTATGTTGCTTCCTTTCTTATAGTTTGAAGATACAGCCACTCCGCGTCTGCTGCGACTAAGAATGTCACACATCGATCATTCGGTTGTCAGCGTGATGGGATAAAACAGCATAGATTTGGTTTAGGAATAGAAACTTGCATACCCTCTTTTATCCTCCAACATATTCGAAATTCCGTATTCCTTTTGAAATTCAAAGGAGGAAGGGGATTGGCTACCACAAGTATTAGAGCCCGGCTCCAAGAGGAAACCTGTTAACTCAGTGGCATAACGATTTAAAACACACCATCGCTTTGAACTATTGCATTCTGCCAATTTGAATATTATTCCATTGAATGAACAAAAAACATACCTTCTGTCCGTTTCCCAATGACTGAAACGTTCTTTTACAGACTGAAGAAATATCCAACCTTACGTTTCTATACAAATAAATGTAATTTGTTTCGTTACTCTAAACCGTGTAGACTGTCGAATGTTATTACTCCTTTTATATTTGCTATAACAGAAAATGTTACATACGCTTGTTCTGTGTTTTGTATACTATACAAATCGCCATTTTTGCAAATATACACTCGAGCTTCACACAAGTACTAACCAAAATCAAATTACTAGGACAACAATAAGTGGATGTCGCCAATACCAAATTTAATCGAAATTTTTTAATTTTCTTTTTTCGAAGTTTAAGATACAGAAAAACGGACGCGCGGGCGATTGTACATTTGTTCCCGTGCACGTCTTCATTTTGTGCACTGTGTGTGTGGTGTAAATTATGCTCAACAGGATTATACTCAGAGAACAGTAGATTACAATTACATATTTCGATCTTAGGCAATATTTTCTTTTCTTATAGTATTTCATTTAGGGACGCTATATTAAATGTAGTTATTGAGCAATATAGAATGAGACGTTATAAAGTGATTAGGAATAGTAAGTAGGGCATCATGTAAGACAAAGCGACTTTGATCTTTCCAATATACCATCCCAGGCTTCTATGGCGGAACTAGGAGTAAATATGAAATCTAATGGCAGAATTGACATAGGGAGGTCGAACCACGAATGCACTTCCTAACAAATAGCCAGAATAAGATCCACTAAGTAGATAGAAGGTTTTTCCTCTTATGCAGATTCAAATTTTATAGACTTTACGGAACAAAATGACATGAACAAATTCAAAATTAACATTACACTTGCCTTGACATATATCAATTGGTGTACAACTGGGATATTGGGTATTGGGAACGACCCGTTCTTCAAGTGCCTGAGCACTGCGGGTACCAACTTTTCGTTTGGTTGAGCTATAGATATTCGGTAGGACTCCTCGGACGAGGGATCCGTCGCAAGGCCTCTACCTGTACATAGGACAGCACAAGACCGAAAAACGCGGACAAACATCCATGGCTTGAGTGGGATTCGAACCCACGGTCCCAGTGACCAAATGGCACAAGGCCCGCGCCTCCTACCGCGCGTCTACTGCGACCCCGGGTATACAACTACCCTCTGTAATTTATTGCTAATTTTAAATTAAGCAGACGTATAATGTTTTCCTCTTTGTTTCCACCACAGCCTTCTAAGTTGATGGAATAGAATGCTGGTAACAAATTACAGTTGGTTACAAAATTTTCCGGTTCCGATTTCGATGCCGTTAGAACATAGTTCATATTGTTTCAATAAAAATACTGTAATGTTCTCACATAAGCTGGGCTAAGCAACCGAACACAACTTAACACAGTATCATCAAATTGAACAAAACCTTCGCATTAGCATCAGATCATTGCGAATGTTCATATGGCCATGCAGGGCATTTTAGGTGAAAGTGAGAACGGTACACGTGTCGTGGAGGCCAGGTCACGGAAAGGGCACGAGCAGTTTTTATGCATGGCTCAGTCAATGTACGGACCAAACTGTGTAAGGGTACGGTACTTGGAATGCAAGGGCCTTGTTTGAAATAGGCACGCTGAACTTGTCGATTAAACAGAAAGATTGATTCATGGGTTATTTAACAGCTCTATTTCACACCCGGCAATTATATAAGTCATACGAGATGGGAAAATGCTCAGAAATGCTGAATGGATAATTATTTGGTCTGTCATATTATATTATGCCTAAATTTACATGTGGGAAGTGTGCACACTGAGAAACATTTTACAAGTAAAGGTTAGAATTTAATTACCAATGTGATTAGGTCTGATATTAATTTATTGTTTGGATAGATATAAACAAATTATTTCCTACCTTACGAAATTATTTGCTCTGTATATAAAAGAAACCACAACAGATCATGTGGAATACGACAAAGACAAAATATGCGTCCAATGCATTTGCGTAGTTGAAACAGATACAATATTGTAAGCTGTAGGAAATAATGGGTAAATGGCGGACACTTAAGAGAGGAGCTAGATAAAACGAAAAGTATACACAAACTTGAAACTTTATATAAACTGGCATTTAGTCTGAAGGGTCTAGTTCTTAAGTATGCAGTAACAAAAACATTGAACGTAACAAAACATCTGTAGGAAATGATACCTGAAGAAGTAGCTTTGACCGGTATTCCCCACCCTTAGGAATAATGATGGTCACTATTTGAGCTTCAAGATGTCACTGAAGTAAATAAAATAATAAGTGAATAAAATATGTTTTTAGTAAGTAATAGGCATAATCTTGGCTTACAAAATGTATACACGTCTCACATAATTTGAACGTACAAATTCTAACAGAATGTTAAGATAATCTTAAGTGTGTTAGATCACTGGAGCACAAAACAGACACATGCAACTATGTCGGTAACTCCACAAGAAGCAAATGGCGGAATTCGCTGTTGCACTTCACTGAATGAAGCAATAGATGTCAGCATCAGCTAGAAGCATTTATCTGGTACCGTTCGTCATAAATGTGCCTGGCTGGAATTACCCCTTCCTCCCCAACACTCAGCTCGAGTACGGGAAATATTAAATGTCTGCACTTCTTGCATGGAAGCCAGTTAGAAAGCGCCTTCTTGAAATACCAAGAACGATGTTAGAGGACAATAACAATCTTAACTACGAGATTAGTAACTACATGGCGCAGAGCCGATGTTTTTCTTCTGGATTATAACGTTGAGTGGACTTTTAGGGAGGAAACGTGTCTGGGGAACATAGTCTGTCCATCTTCAGGACTGAGCTCTGAAGAGGGTTTCATTATGTTACTCTGAAACGTTGGCACCTACCTACAATTCCAATCGGTGTTACAACCCAGAAGACCAATATCAACACCTTTATCCTTGTGAGATCCTCAAATGTGGTTCATGGAGTGAAGTCCTTTTTGGGAAGTACATAGTCGCTAAAGCTAGTCAAGAAATTGCCATTGTTAATAAAAATCTGAAATAAAGAAATTATGATTTTTACTGTAATAAACTAGCTGTATATATAAACAAATAGCGGATTATGGAAATATATTCAGCTCCTTGAACGTCCATATTCTCAGACAGTTAAACACAGTGAGGAGGCAACGCTATACTTAAATCTTGAAGACGAAGTCGATACCTTACTCTGAAAATCTTGTAACCGCCTACAAGACAAAGTGGCTGCATTTGTACTTCTTTGGTTTACGTCAGCATTGTCGCATTGTTGATGCTGCTAAACACATAACATTCTACTATAACAATTTCTGATTCCCCGTTGTCGTCAACCAATTTGTCGTCAAAAAATGAGGCCATCAAACAATGTTACGTTATATTTGTTTACTCGGCATTGTTGTACCAACACAACAATGCCGAGTAAACAAATGACTTGAGTAAGACATTAAACTAACCCCCCCGAAGGGGGGGAGGTTATTTTAGTTTCTTACTCAAGATTTTAAAACGCAACCAACTCCCCCGAGGAGCTCCGAAGGGAGCGCTCTGCTGTAGTTTACACAAAATAGGTAGGCTTTTTTCATATCATACAGCAGAAATATTCTCATATGTATCTGCAATGTTCAATAATGACATTGAACATGATGTTTATATTTCGAGTGGCTTAAATATTTTCCAGGTTTTCTGATTTTGAACGTCGTACAGATTCTTTAGGCGACATTTCATATTCTCATGGCTGTATCACAGAGTTAATAATTCAATTCTTGCTTATTTATGAAAGCAAAGATTATTCTGTTGAAAGTAGTAGATTTAAGAAAGAATACCAAATAAACGGAAACAATACTAACAAAGAAGAAGCAAATGTTTAAGGAGCAAAGGAGACGGATATACGAAATACATAATTATTGAAGTTTTAACAAACAGAACGAACATATTAAGGGCTTGCAGATGTATAATTCGTAATTCCTCTTATAGAAGGAAAAATAATTCAGGCAGCTGTTAAATATGCGAGGACTTAATGTTGTTAGGCAGGCTTGTATAAATCCATACTGACGAATCATTTATAAATGAGTCTTCAGCAAATTTCAAACTTGACAATAGAAGAAAAATAGTATAGCGCTGTAACACATAATTCATATCAATGAAATGAAAAGAAATATTTATATATATATATATATATATATATATATAAAACATTTGAATTGTGAATACCAAGCAGTAGTTACATGGTTATAGCTATAGCAGTCAAAAGAACCTATAGATATTCAGTTTAAAATAAACCCCTACACACATAGAACGACGGGATTCATGGTAATATTGAATTTTTGTAGCCGTGTCCCGCTGTTATGCTCATACACCGATTTAAATTAATAAAAACACGATTTCAGTTATTTTGTAGCTGGATGTCACAGACAGAAATTTACTATATCACGATATTTTGATATCAATCGGTGTATTGTTGTCTTATTCGGTTATTCAATTCAAAACGTACCTCTAAATGTTTCATGAACGTCCAGAAAATAATTCTTTGGAAGTAATGTTTAAGATTTAACACAGCGTTTGATCACCAGCGTACCATGGTCATATCCTAACTGGTTTTTGCGTTAAATGTCGTGCCGAGCGGCCTAGCAACATTGATGATCTTAGTACTCTGTGTTAAGATTCTTGCTGCTACAAAAGTGGGACATTTTAATACTTTCTCGGTGCAGAATATTTTTATCTTAAATAGAATATGTGAAGTACAATTGTTCTTCCAAAAAAATTATTTAAACTCATCGTCGACTATGAGTGCCTGGCGAGATTCTGGTACGTGCATCAAGGTTATGTTTCTATCTTCGTACTATTTCGTGTAACCTACTGAACTAAAGTCCGATCTATAAGCATCTAATACATAATATAACAGCTATTCTATTTAAACTTATTTCATTACTCCAAAGATATGTTTTCTGACTCGATCACTCACATTCTGAAACACTCATTCTGTGTTATTAATTTATTAATCCTTTAGCCAATTCAACAATTATTATTCGATTCTTAATTAACGTATTCATCACTATTTATGTCGAAGTCTGACACAGCCAGTTTCCGTTACTCAGTACACATCAGTCACTGGCTGGTTTCATAACATTTCTCTTTTCGCTTCCTTTTTAGATGTGTCAGGGTTTTAAAATAAAGTTAATATTGTACCTGTATTGCTCCACGCCTTGAAGACGTAGAAGTGTTGAAGGATTGGAGGTACAGCTCCAAGCATTCGTAGCCACAGTACTAGTTAGTGGTGAGTTTTCACCTTAACGATCTGGCCACTTCAGCCCCAGTAAGTGATGATTAATCCAAAGTTGCTAACTTAGGTAGCAACGGGAGACTCTCAGTCTTGTAGTGTAACAGGGGTATATGGAAATTTTTATCACGGTAAACTAAGACGTATAATTAAATCGCAGAAATTTTAAAGAATTGCTCTATATAACCGAGAGTCCTTCCACTTGTTCAGGACAGAAAGTGGCAAATTTCAACACTTAAACTACTTAAAATGTTGACATACTGCGTTGTTCGTTTTACAGGCAGAATATAATTTGTCATTCTATTTATGCTTTCATGGCCAACACACTTCATAACACAATATAAATGACTCAACGTGTCTTATCTGTAACAGGCAATGGCAAGACACATGCAGGTTTATTAACTGCTGTTACTACTTAGTAATGACACACCAGGCAATAACTGAAAGTACATTTTTTGTGTCTGACATATATATATAAATGGGTGTATGCATGAAAGTCATTTGTGTATACAACCGGAGCACATCCAAATAAAACACTTAGGTGAGACAACAACACAAGTGAGTGCCTTAAATAATATTAAGAGCATTATTTAAAAAATAGTTTATAAACTAACAGCCAGAGGACTCTGCATCATTTCAGATTATTTTGTGTGTATTTGTGTTAATACTATCCTTTTTGCAACCCGAAAGTGTCTTATTAGATTAAGTTTCAATTTGTTCTCATTCTTATATACATTTATAAATATCATTTAGTTTCTCAATTTATATTTTCTTTAGTTTTGGCAATTATTGGATTATTTACTTGATTGGGAAAATTACAAGTAATATGCTATTAATTTCACTTAACCTTGCACTACGAATACTTCTGAAATACTAATTATGTACTTAGACATTGCACTATTTCCTGAATTAAACACCAAATGCCATGCCCAAAGTAGGACGAAAGCGGCACTCTGAAGGATTAGTAGGACTAAACAAACTGGTCAGTATAGTTCTGAATTTTATTCCGTACAGTCAGGGCAGTTCTTAGACACAGGCGCGTAAGGTGCCAGCCTAGGGCCCCGCAGATATAGTGGACCCTCAATAAAGTTAATTTTGACAAAATGTAGAAAAGAACGAATTTTACTACGTAAAAACTACAATGATAAATATCAGGGTCATGCAAAGGTACTTGAGGTCCGGGCGCAAGAAGAAATCGGGGCCCCCTTACTTATTTGAGATAAAAAGTTGCCAGTGGAACCACGGTTCAGGAGAATTTGACGTAAATACGTCTATACGGAAAGGAAGTTTATATATTGGCTTTATTCTAAATATTTCCTTTATACACGCTTTACAATTTGAGATAAATTTGATTAAGACATTGCTTAATCAACTTGAATTAGTTACGCTTAAGATGGGTCTGTAGTAGCTGAATGTAATGTAAAGTAATGTAATGTAATGAAATGTAAGGTAATGTATTGTAATGAGTAATTTCTTCAACCTTACAAGCAATTGTTACAAATAAAAATGTAAAAACCAAGGAAACAAGCCTAACAAAAAAAAATTGGTACTACTATAGAGAGATTAATTCCTAACAGGCACAATCACGTCCCTAAAACAAGGTCCTGACCAAAGTTCTAGTCCTTACGATTACACTCGACTTAACCCAGAGTCATGAACTTTTTTATTACCCACTTTTATTTGACTTACCTTTTGTTTCAAAAATATCAACGCTTATATCTCTTTTCCTAATTGAGATAAAGAGATCAAATTTGGTATATAAACCTATCTTATGGCACAATTTATGCTATTAAATTTTAGCGACATATTCACGGTACGCGAACAAAATATCAATAGGAGGAAAAAGATTGTTAGTGAAGTTACACAAACAAAGCAGCATAGGAAGAATAAGAATATAATATTAAATCATGTATTTTTTCCCTAACCGTTCGGAAAAAAAATTTAAGCCACTTTGAAGATCGGATATTGACCCTGCCCCCCCCCCCCCCCCCCCCGCGTAATCCGCGAAATAACAAGTAGGCAGAGGTACTTGCCCAGCAGAATGATGGCACGAGCAGGTAGCGCGGGAAGGGGTGTGAAGAGACGAGGGATGGGCAGCTCTTTAGGAAAGTTAGTTGATATTCAGCTGCGTGAAGAAATAATTTTTATATTATTTGTTATGGAACAAATAATATAATATAAGAAGTCTTATTAAATTTTTAATTGATCTTCAATTTTTATTCTTCACATATGCTATTTTAACAAGCAATATAAATTTCAAATAGTGGTGAATAATGTAATATAAATCATTGTATATTTTGTTGATAATTGAACGTATGTAAGTTGTGTGTTTTATTATCATATTTGAACATAATTTTTGATGTAATTACGTCTATAATTAAGGGTCATTCGGCAAAAAAGTGTAACGAAAAAGATCCGATAACAATGGTTACCTAGGGAACGTCGTCTGTTTACTCGGCATTATTCTTACCTAAGAAACGTCATCTCTTTACTTGGCATTGTTGTGTTACCCAGGAAACGTAGGTGGTACTACAGTTCACTCTGCGTTTAGAATTGCCATGTCAAGAAAGCAAGGGGGACTTAGTAGGGAGACGTTGCAAATGTACAGATCGGCATTTCATAACGTTGAAATGTTGTTCATGGACGAAGTAAGCATGATTGGTACTGATATTTTACACACTATAAATGCGAGATTACAGACAATATGTAATGAATATGATAAACCATTTGGGGGAATGACTGTAATATTTTGTGGAGATCTTCGACAATTACCACCTGTAAATGCGAATTTCATATACAAGCCTCACAAAAATTCCTTGGCTGGTGCTAATCTGTGGCAATCGCTGTCGTTTTTGACGTAAATATGTCTATAAGGAAGGGTCATTCGGCAAAAAAGTATAACGAAAAAGGGAAACGAAATAGTGTAACGAAAAAGTTACAGGAAAATCTGTAAGATCCGATAACAATGGTTACCTAGGGAACGTCGTGTTTACTCGGCAATATTGTTACCTAGGAAACGTCATCTGTTTACTCGGCATTATTGTTATCTAGGAAACGTCATCTGTTTACTCAGCATTGTTGTTACCTAGGAAACGCTATATTACATTACATTTCATTACATTACATTCATTTATCACAGACCCATCTTAAGCGTAACTAATTCAAGTTAAATAAGCAATGTCTTAATCAAACTTTACGCAATTGTAAAGCATGTATAAAGGAAATATTTAGAATAAAGCCAATATATAAACTTCCTTTCCGTATAGACGTATTTACGTCAAATTCTCCGGAACCGTGGTTCCACTGTCACTTTTTATTGAGTGATCTATATTTCTTAATTATTCGTGAAATATATATATTTATTCATTGTCCGTGAAAATGTATTTTATTTGCTCCAACAATTTTAGTAATGGATATCAAACAATGTCTATATTGTGTTAGACTGTAATATAAATAATTTAAAATGTTCTACTTCTAATCATAGAAGGAAAAAATTGAAATTTTTAATGTACTTGCGTTTAGAATTTGTACTCCTGTATTTTCTTTGAAGTTTAATCATATTTTATGATACGTGATGGAATAATTTCATCACTTCTCTGTGTTCTTGTTTTACTATATCTACATGGAGGAAGTTTAAATTTATTTGGTAAAGCACTATTTCCTTTATTAAAGAATTATTTTGAAAGACTAATGAATTGCTGACAAAATGTTTTACTCTTAAGAAGATGAAAGGTATGTATTACCCAGCCGCTTAAATGCCAGGCGGGTAAGTCCTGTCCTGTGTTGTTGTGGTTACGCTCGCTACTTGAAGCTTCGGTGTACCACGCCTTGTAAACTTCCGACAATGGTATTTTGATATTTGGCATGCACATTTTCGAACATATCAGCGTTGCTGAAGTTTCGCTGCTGTCATACTGGAGGGTTTTTTATTTCTCGCCAATTTACTTTTGGCAGTGAACATAGGAAGATTCAGTGCTAAGATACTATAGCTGTTGTGTGCTATAAATATTATTTTAAAAATGTATTATACTTATATTATTTTCGACCCTGGTGACTGACAAGAAGTTCGACAGCCTGAAAATATTGATTTATGTAACAAAGGTGAATTTAATATTATATTATTTTTTATGTTACAAGATAAATTCAATGAACGAAAACACACTTGTCATGCATTGAATTACAAGTCAAATAGTAAATTAGCTGGCACGTAATTATGCATTTTGAATTCTTATGTATAGAGCTTAGTTTCATTATAATACTGTTATTGTTTTGCTGTCAACCCTGAAATGGGAGCTTGGTTTTCACTGCCGCCAGTGAGCGCGAAGAGTACGACTGAACTCCTAATATTTTCATTGAAGTTCATTGTTGAATTTCAAATTGATTGTTTGTAAGTAGTTGTATTTATAAAGTTTCTTATAAGAATGCAAACGATCTTACAGAACTCCTGGATTGCGACATTTTTCATATTATTATCGAACTTCCGTGTTGTTGAGAAAAAGCCACCCTAAAAATGGCTGTAACTTATTTAATATCGTCTTTAGCGAGAAAAGTGATTTCAAAAAGTTTTAGAAATCTCTAGGTGCTACACAATACTATACTTATAAATACTGACATCAACATTTTTCAAATTTTCAACATGCTTTTACGTATTATGAAAGCTGCTGTATTTAATTTATTTACATTAAATTTTTTGTAACTCATAAAGAAATCTAGATCTCTCAATAAGTTACTGGGAAGGCAAAAAAAAATTGTTTTTGCAAAAAAAGGGGTGCAGCGTGAAGTTAGCACCCCATTTTTAATTCGCATTTTTAACACATTTCTGGAACTCTTTTTAAAATACATCAGGAACTACACAACTCATTAATATCTACTCAGAACGCAAGAAAAATAATAATTTTTCCAAAAAAGGTGTGCCAACTTCACACAATCGAAACTGTAGAGCATAATGCGGAACGTTTAACAATCAATCAATAAAGTCAAACAATGTATTGCCATCTCGCGGAAATCATTATAATAATTAAAGTAAATATTTGGACGTAACAATGTTATCTTTAAAGGTGGCCACGAAAGAGCTTAGCGCATGGGGCCCCGAGAATTCTAAGTACGGTTATGGGTGCAGTATATTATACGTCTTATACATTAAAGTAATTGGAATTTCTGTGATAGCGAAAATATTATATTTAAAAATGGTTTATATGTGCCTTCCATACTTTCAAAGCACGCAGTTTTCACAAGGTTACTCCTACATGCGCCAATGTGTCTGGCGTATAGATCCCATATTAGTGAGACTATGTAAACTACTAAGGAAATAAACGAAATGCTACAACTTGGCTTTGGGGAATTAACAATTAATAAACCTCTTAAAATGAGTGGCGATGTATTATAAAAGTTTAAATTACATCCTTACATGATTGATCTAATTTTATTTAGGAACACATCAATCCTCTGAATTATATCTGTATATGATTTTACCTAAATTAATTAACAGTACTTTACGTCCACATTACGATGGCACTAAAAATTGAATTTCATTGTGTGGTTAAATATTTCATACAATA